ATAGCGAAGGCAACAGACATTTTTTTAAAATTCAGATTTTATTTTATTTTATTTTTTGAGGTGGAGTCTCACTCTGTTGTCCAGGCTGCAGTGCACACTCACGGCCTCCGCCGCCTCAACCTGCTGGGCTCAGGCGATCCCTCCATCTCACCCTTCCAAGTAGCTGGAATTACAGGCATGTGCTACCACGCCCAGCTAGTTTTTTGATTTATTGTAGGCTGGTCTCGAACCCATGAGTTTAGGCAATCCTCTCACCTTGGCCTCCCAAAGTGCTGCGATTATAGGCGTGAGCCACCGTGCCTGGCCCAGCTCTGATTTTAGAAAACATGTTAGAGAGTGTAAGTTTAATATATGTTGAAGGGTGTCGATGTGACACTTATTTAATTTTATTTGCCTTACTTGGTTATGACTCTGTGTTTAGATTACACAATTCATATTGTCTTAATTTGTTGTTTTGTAAATTAATGCAATACTTTTTACTTTCCTCAGGTTTAGAGACCTTTAGCCAGTTAATTTATCGAGATTCTTATGGGGCTGTAAGTATGATTATTATATGTTACTAAACATTTTTGGATAGACATACTACCAGTAAAATGTAACCTGTTTAGCTATTGTTAGCTGAAGGTTTCTTTTCCCCAAGTATTTATCTTTGTTGGTAAATGTGAATTTCACATTTTTTTTTGTTCTGAATTAATCTTTTATCCAACACTTGTATGGAGAGATGTCTTCATGGAACTCAAGTAAAGGGAAAATTCTAAAACTAAATCACAATTTTATTTTGTCTTATAGTTCACCATCAATGAAACCAACATTATTGATTCTCCAAGGTTCCCTCATAGAGGAATTTTAATTGATTCATCCAGACACTATCTGCCAGTTAAGACTATTCTTAAAACTCTGGTAGGTAATTACTTCATTCTAATCTATTGTCTATTCTGAAGCTGTATTCTCCCAGAGATATTGTTACTTAGTGTTGGTTACAACTGATGTGCAGACTAGAACAGGGAGATTTGTTTTTCTTGTATGAAGTATTAGCGCTGGGCATTCTTTCCTTCCTCACTGTGTATTTCCTCAGCTGTCACCCTCCTGTTTCCATTGGGGAGGCCACATATAACATGTAGCCAAGACTTACGAGAAAGGCAGTTTTAATACTGCCCATTGATCCTGTATGTATACCCCTATTTGTCAAATCACATGTCTAGACTTTTGGCTGGGAATCCATGGCCTCCACACTTCTGGTGTCCTTTACTTTTCATGACTTCCACTTGCTTTTTTAAAAGTGGCATTAGAAGCCAGGCTCGGTGGCTCAGCCTGTCATCCCGCGCCTTTGGGAGGCTGAGGTGAGTGGATTGCCCGAGCCCGCGGGTTCGAGACCCGCCTGGGCAGCGAGACCTCATCTCTACAATAAAAATCAAAAAATCAGCCGGGCATGGTAGCGCATGCCTGTAATTCCAGCTACTCGG